CGTTCAAAACATTTCCATAAAAGTTCTTTTATATTCTTTGTGGCTACAGAGGCATTGTTTCCCTTCTTGTATTCAAACAGCTTTACGTGCCGAATGTGTCTCGTTGTTTGCCATCACTATAAGGGATTAGAGTATACTACACTTTACACATTATATAGGCTACACTAACGTGATATGTAGGCGGTTCGTTTAACTATTTACAAGATGTATGTTTTTTTGGGGGGTGGTTAGTGAAAGTGTTCCAAAACGAAACATTAATTTCTTGATGGCCTAATACATATAGAAGTTAGACTACAGTTGTGTATAGTAAAAAATGGAAATTAGGAATATTTTCTTTCATATCAAATGCTATTTGCTGACAAGGTGAGAAGTGCTAAAATGAAAGTACACACACATATTTAAACATTGCTTCTGATACAGCAAGATTAGCTATTCTCATCCAGTGCTGCCCTCTACATGCAGTTTTTTCTTTACACATGCCACAACCTTCTGCTCCCACCTTTTGATTCCAACATGTCTCGTGTATATCATCATGCATTACTTCTCCACCAACAGGAGTGTGACATACGTGATGCATGACTCCCTTTATATGCCTCTGCTGAACTATCACTTCTCACTTGTGCTCAAATGTTTTCCTTTTATTTGTTTAAAGTTTCATGTTTACCTTCAGTATACTCACGAAGTGGTCTTCATTTATTTTCACTTCTAGTTTCTGTTAAGACTGTTTCTTAACTTCATTTTAATCCCAGTTTATTACAGTCGCATTGTTATTTATACTTTTGATTATTGGTTGACTCTTTCTCATTATGAATTCTGATGTTTATGCTACCACTTCAAGGTTCACACCTGCAATTAGCGCTATGTCTTCTACTTCATGTACTGGTGACCTGGTAGGGGATTTATCCATGTTTATTCACTGGGAGATTGACTGTTACATGGGTCAACCTCTGTCTTCAGACCTTGCCCCACTTCCTCCTGAACAAGCTGAGCCTGTTCAGGCAGATGAGGACTTGGATCACTTATTTCCACTTCCAGATTTTCCCATGCCCTGCCTGAGGAGTCAATTAGGCCTGATACAGTCTTTTTGGATTTCGATTCTCAGGTATGTGACGTTTTATCCCAGTCCTCTATTTCCTTTTAACCGTGTCCTTCCTTACTACATGACCAATCTTCCTATCCCTAATTTATTTTTCCCCCATCCCCAGATATTTGGGTACATGCTGACCAGTTTGCCTCACAATTAAGTGATGGGATTAGCATGCCTTTCCCCCACAGACTTCGGATCAATTTGCTCTTGCATATCATGGTGCAGACTGTTCTTTTCTGGACCAGCAATTGTTAGGTTCCACTTTGCCTGTTTGGGGTGGCGTCCCCAATTTTCCTGTAAATCTGACTCATGCCCAATTTTCCTGCCTTCGTCTCACCCTCACACCTCTTTTATGCTATTTCTCTACCATCCATCTCCTCCCTGAAGCTTTCCACTGAAGTCCTGAGGGTTTTCTGGGGACATCCTTTCCCTTTCCTCCACGTTGGCTCTTTGGTCATCTTCGGCTCTGGCTTTACATATGTGGTTTCTCTGTTATTAAGATCTTACAGGTCGTGATGCAACCTTAACTTGCTTACGTTTACCATCATCTTATCTTCGGGATTTAGATATGGCCCCATTTCTGTGGCAATACATTTTTGACAAGATCCCTGCTTCTTTGGAATCACAAGTTGCATCAGTACAACAACAGTCTACCCTTTCCAACCTTGATTCCCATTTGTCTCAGTCGGACCCCATATGGCACCTATTACCATTTCCCATCCCAACTCTTACCTGTCCTTTCTTCTTGAGGTTCCTCATCTTGTCATTTACTTTGACAATGCTCATCACGTTTCCAACAGTATTGGTGACTATCTGATGAGAGCTCAGCTTGCCAATTTTCTTTATCATTGGTGTCCTTTCATCAAGGATCATTGGGTTCTTCAAGTTTTAGTGGAAAGATTCGTGATCCAGTTTTTTTCCCGCCTCCCATGTGTCTCCTATACCCATTTCCTTCCCTCCACCTCGAGATCTTGTGACCATCCAGTGTCTGTTAGAGGCGGTTCAGGAACTACTATCTCAGCAGGCCATCAAACCTGTTCTACATCCTTCATCAGGTTTTTATTCCAGACTCTGTTGTTCCCAAGAAAACTGGGGACTGGAGGCCTGTCATCAATTTGTCCCACCTCAATCACTTCGTTCAACTGACTCGTTTACCATGAAGTCATTTGTCACCCTACGGTGGGCATTTTCTCCGGCCTTATGGGTGTTGCCAATGCTTATCTCCACATCCCTATATCACCATGGTCTTGTCCATATCTTCGGTTTGCCAATCATGGAGTGGCTTATCAATTTTGTGCCCTACCCTTCAGGCTTGCTCCTGCTACTTATGTTTTCTATCGGGTGGTCAGAAATTTTGCTTGCCATCTTCATGCTCTGTGGTTGCAATTCCACCATTATATAAACGACTGGCTTCTTTTGCCTCATTCCTGACTGGAGTTGGCCAGCCATACTCATCAGTTCCTTCTAGTGGCTGCTCAGTTGGACTGGTTAATCCAACCTAC